TATGAGGCCAAACCGTGATCACGGTTACGTTGTATATCAATAGCACGTAAATCACTACCGAAGGGATTATTTCTTCTAAACAAAAAGTGTTTTATCTGCAAATATTTTTTTAATAGTTAATGTAAGATTCATGAATAGATTCAAACAGTTTTTTAAGTTTAAATTTGTACCAACCTCACGATCGAAATTGATATCAGTTAATTCTTCGGGTTGTGTAGCATGACCTCTTGTAAGTGAATCAAAATTATCACCAACTTCAAGAATACCAGGACGATTAAACCAATCGCTTAGTCGCAATGAATTTGTTACAGATCTCAATTCTGATAAAAGACTACAAACAAAAAGAAAGGGTTTCAATTCAGTGAAGAACTTATGTGAACAATATCTTCATAATATTAACTTACTCTAATCTTCCTTCGATTTGTGAATGGAAATATCTGAATGCTGCTGTTGCATGTGAATTCAAAACAGATGGATCAATATTTGAATCGTAATCATTTACATAAGCTCCCGCAGGTGTTTCATATATCAAACGGTTCTTCAACATATTCTCAGTGCCAAGGAAGATTGGTAACCATTCGTAATAACTGATGTGTTGATATTGTGCAATATTTATTTTTCGTGCCTCTTGGAACAAGGTGCGATCATCGTAATGTGGGTTCAATTTTGCTAATACGTCAGCAATTCGATTATGTTCTCTCAGTAGGATAGTTTGTAACATAGTTAAACCTGGATTTTGATTAACTCGAACATCACCAGCCATATAGCACACTTCATTTGGGTCAGTTGCATCACAATCACCAGTAACATTACGTGACGAAGGTAACCATTCTGCACCATTACGCTCCTCGACTATCATACGACCACGTTGGAATGCACGTATTTGACTATTTTGTTGTATCGAATTACCATATACTAATGACAAGTCCATGTAAGCTGTGACTACTGTCAGTTGTTCCGCTGGTCCTTGACTATTTGGACAATTGGCATCACGATCAGTAAGTGTACGCACAAAATTAAGACATTCTGTGCCAACTTGAGAATAAGCAGGATCATGAGGTGGAACTATTATGGCAAAACAAGTTTTATGTGCTGTATCAGCACCAACCAAACGGCCGTCATCTGTACAACAGCGGGTAGGATGTTTCTCTAAAATAAAAATATATTTTTATAAGTGTTATGTATATTATAAATTTATATATTATTAATGTTAACATATAAATTATGTATTTGTAAAATTTAAGCATATTTAATTAAAAAATATAGTGATATATGACTTACTGGATTGTGTTCCACCAGCTTGCATACTCATATCATGTGTCATTATTTGGCCCCACTGCATATTTACCAATGTGTATTTTGGATCAGGCACATCGAGTTCTCCAAATATAACAAGTGATACCAAGCGTGCACTTGGTAGTTCATCTCCAGTTATTGAACTAGTAGGTGCTGATATTCCATCAGCATATTTGGGAGATAATAGACGACCATATCTAAAACAAAAATTTTATATTATTTGATTTTTTAATTGTAAGACATTAAAAGTAACATATATGATAGCATATGATAAGAAAGAAAGTCTTAATTATTCCAAAAAACATATTAACTTAATTTATTAAAATACTTTTAAAAAAACCTGGAAGAAAAATGGATTTAAAATCAATTGAATGCTAGGATATGCTATAATTTTTATATTTTAAAGCAAATATGTATCCTTCTACATGTATTTCATCGTCTTCACAGTAATCCCCTCCCGATATAGTACACTTATGCAAATGTTTTTTCTAATCCTGAAACTAATTGTAAAATATAGTTTTCGAAATAGTTTTCAATGGTAACGATCAACTGAATCATAGTGATTAATTTATAATACTCGAGATTAAATAAAAACACTCTAGATATTTTTCCAGAGTAGCAAGATTTCCCTTAAATTAACTGTTTTATATGATTTGACTAGTAAAGTGTGATTTGAATCGATATATATGTTTATGAAAAATGTAAATGTCTACTAACACTATTACTCTGATTACTCTAAAAATGTTTAATTGGGTAACAAAATTTGTTGGATCTAGAGTAAATCTAGATTAAATTCAGATTCAACGATAGAAAACACCATTAATATAAACTATTCTTTTCAATAGAGAGGTATTTTTAACAATAGTAAATTACAACAATTAATTTTTTTTTATTAATTAATTAAACCAAAAAATTAAATCAATAAAATAATAAATAAAACTTTCACAGCAAAGTAACAAAACTCCAGAAAAATGTGCGAATATAAAAGTCAAGTACGGTTTTGGGTCAGTTGGTTAAGGTGGGCTAACTCTGAGCTTGAAATTTGGCAGGGCACGAGTTCAATTCCTTGTACTTGCAGACTCAAAAAATTATTTACGAATAAGTAAATACAAGACATAATTCTAACAACACGGATGATAGATATTTGGCAATACACCGAAACATCTGTACGATCAGCCAAACTTTCAATTAATTAAAATAATATAAAATGAATTTTTAATGTTGTAGTTCACTACTGTTCGAAAAACATCATCAATTAATAAAAAAAAAATAATAAAATTTTATTATTTATGGTAAATGTAATTTTTTAATGTAATGATTTTTGTAGATATATTATAAAATATATTAATAAAATATCAAACCTAGAATTAGCAATTCCAAGTTGTGGATTTTCCAAATGGTTACATGAGCCATCTAAGCTACGATATGCAGTCTTTTGACAAATAGCTGGTGCAGCAGCACAAGTGGCAGCACCAGGTCTTGGAAAATGTAAACCATAACCAGGATTTGAATTTCCTAATCCTGTGAAAGGATTGCCATTTCTGTTTGATGTGGATGGTCCATGCCAATTTGGACTTCCATGCAAAAATCTGAATCCATGATATGCGTTCGAGCCAGGGTGCTCATGTACAATATTATAACCGGATGAGGAATATTTTTGTGCCAAAGTGTAGGTAACCGTTAAGACAACTAAAATGAAAATATTCAATTTCCACACCATCTGAAAGTAAATAAAAAAATCTAGTTTTAGATTAATATGCACATGTAAAAAACAAAAATGTAATTATTTTTGGTCATATCTATTTCATGAGTACCGGTCGCAGCAGTTAAGCAACAAGGCGTTTTAAATATTGTTAGCACTTAATAGAGCAGAAATGTAGTATTTAAATTTGGTCAATAATAAATAATTTATGAACTAAACTGAGACTCAATAAATTTTTCGTAGATTTGATTTTGTATCTGAGTTACTTTAGTTGAATTTAAAAAAAAATTGTTAATAAATTCCATTAACTTAAGACAACTCAGTGGACACATGTGCAATGCCTCTGTTGAGTGTCCAAACTTTACTGATGCCGCTACTTTTATTAATTCATTAAAATGAATTTGTTTCATTCGGCGCAATGTATATGGTGCAATGAGATTCCTTTTAGAGTATAAGATATAAAAGTTGAACTCCATTGGAATTCTGACCCCATTGTGCGCTTTTAATTTCGTTGTGATGGCTAACAATGTGCCATGTAATAAAATCTTTCTGCAACTTATCTCAACTTGTTGCCTATCTCTGCCTCCTCGTCGGTGGACTGCTGTCCACTGATGGCAGTGTGCTATACATACACTTGGATTAGCAGTTCCAATTTCGTAACGTGTTTGCTGTAAACTTCACACATATTCTCAAAATATTGGAATAGTTTTTTATTTTACTCAAATAAATCGATTGCCTTTATATATTTCTGGCATTACGGCATGTCCAATGATTTACGATAGTGAATTTGCATTTTGTTGATTTGAAATTTATTGCGACATATGTACGACATATGTATGTGTATTCTATAAACAAAGCTATGTGTTCGTTATTGACCAATGCGAATTGCTAACTGGACGATCTTGACAAGGTATTTACCTGTAGAACTACTTATATATGGTATAATAAACCTAGTTTACTTTTTTACTTTTCAGTTGCTAAATTATGATTTAAGCGTTGTATTAAAATTACTTCATAGTTCATTTAGTGGTCCACCTATGCGTGACCGTATCCATTCCAATTCCTACGACTATTTACTGTAATTCAGAATAATATAATTTGTATGCGTAGCTGCAGATATGCGGAGTTAAACGATAAATAATTTTTAATTCATACTAAATACCTTAAAAAAGCAATTATTAATTAAGTTGAGTTTTATTACAGCTGAAGTTGTTTTAGTTATTCGAGTTTCGCTTAAAATGGTCTTTTAAATATTTCAGATTTACTGATATACATACTATCTTTGAGATTTAAATCGTCTTAAATCGATTTAATTGGCCAAAATCTCAAATAAATGTGTGAAAAATTTAATATGTTTCAATAGTTTACAAAAAACTATACACACATTATTTGTTAAAAATATATTAACTATTAAATGAAGTCACATTTTTCTTTTCAAAAAAATAAATTAATAAAAAAAATTATTTATTATGGTATCACAACGTTTATTATACCCTAACTTAATAATTAAGAAAAATATTTTTTTAATTATTTTCGAAACATGTTTGGTTGCAATTTTTAATTTGTATTATATATGAATTTGAAATGTTAATAATAAAATACTTATTTATTTATTTATTACACGTTGAGACTATAAAAAATTAGAAATATGTGAGAAATAGTTGTTAGCTGCCAGTCTGTTAATATTTTTAAAACATAATTGAAACTTTATAGTATTAAATAGTATTAAAATTTAAAATAAAAATAAAAATATAATTAATTAATTTAATTATTCTACAGCTGTTTTATGATATCGTTCTAATATATAACACAGCAAGTGAGGTTGTTAATAAACTTTCACACCAAATTAACAAAACTCCAGAAAAAAGTGCGAACATAAAAGTTAAGTACGGTTTTGGGTCAGTTAGCTAATGAGTGCTGACTCTGAGCTTTAAATTTGGCAGGACACACGTTCAATCCTTGGTACTTGCAGTCTCAAAAAATTATTTACAAATAATTAAATACATAAAATAATTTAAAGACCACTGATGATGGGTATATGGCAATACCCGAAACAGCTGTATGGTCAGCCAAAAATTAAAAAATAATATAAAAAAGAATTTTTGTTGTTGTAGTTTACTAGTTTTTGAAATCTCATTAACAATAAAGTGAAATACTGACTTTCACTTTATTGTGAACGTACATAAAATATTATTAATAAATAATAATAATAATAAATAATAATTAATAATGCCAATGTCCAATTTTTCGACATCACTCAATCAAAACTATACTAAACTAATCGTACAGTTAAGCACCCTTAATTGCTATTCAGTAAAAATCCGTTTGTCGATTAAATAGTAACGTTGACATTCTAGATATCCACCAAGACAAAGAAGTCAATTCGTCTCATTTCTTACAAAAGAACATCTTCCCCAAACAGATTTTGGATAAAATTCCTTGAGAACGTCCTTGTGAGATATCTGGATATAGTCTTAATGAGATATAGTTGTGGTGTGTCCCTGTCTGAAAGTGAATATAAACTACTAACCAAGAAGTATGCGACGTCTTAGTTCTGCTTTGCGATTTAAAAATTGTTGACTTTATCGTTAATTAGGTATTTCTTAATGAAATAAATTGTGATTTTCATGAGATACGTAGAAAGCACCCTTTACGTTTAGGGAATTATCGCTGTAAACAAGGTATTTTAAAGTTGCATTGCCCTACTTTACTGATAGCCTATACAAATTTTCTATTTTATTTTATTTTACTATTTAATTTTAAAAACTCTTATTAACTCTGATTAAAATACAATCCTTAATTCATGTGGTTACAATTTACAAATACAGAGTTACAAATTGCACATACTTGGGATCATTTATGTACCCTTTCCGTAGTCTATAAAATATTATAATATGTTAGGATGTATAAAATAATAATTTCGAAAATGACAAAAATCATATAAAAATTATATACCATATACTGCTAAATTCTCTTTGTAGTGGAAGTAGAAGATTTTGTTTATTTTTCAAAATAACAAATTTTCGTACTTAAGTGTCCACTTATCATTAAACAGAAGAATATATTGAGAGCTACAATATGACAATGTCTTCGTACTATATATTACGTTACTTATAATATATAGTAAAGATATATAATATAATTTGATTTGTCTTTATTGTTCTTTGCTTGATAAAATGCCAGTTAATGTTTATAGCACTAATATTTAATAGAAACTGTGATCACTTGGGCAATCCACTGTCACAAGTGGATGTCCTATTTTTTATTGAAATAGGATAATACTATAAGTTATTCAGGTGAATTTATAGAAGTATAGTTTGAAGTCCCAATATATCTTCCTATATTTACTATATTTGTTTTAATGGAGTGTAATTCTAAATTAGTATGAAAACATTAGTTTACAGAATTAAACAATTTTTGAGCTCTGTCTTTGGTGTACTTTTGCATAGTTATGATTTACAAGCCCTATTTATTCCCTAATCAGATTTTTATAAAAATTGACTACATGAGACATCATAAATTATACATTATAAATTATAAATGAAACAAATTGATTATGTGATACAATTTTTAACACAAAATTAATAGGTTTATAAAACAATAAGTTACTTTAAGTAGTCACCATAGCTCATCCAAATATCTAACCTAATTCATAAAGGTTCATATGTTTATAAAACAATAAGTTACTTTAAGTAGTCACCATAGGTCATCCAAATATCTAACCTAATTCACCACATCTTTTTGAGGTGGGGTGTTTTATTAAGTGTAACACCTGTTACACTCTATAACTATCTACTATCTTCTATCTATCTACTATAATACCTTATTGGACTAGAAATGCAGGCAAGAAAAAATATTAGTGCTCATCTTAGATTTTTGAAGTATGAATAAAAAATATACAAAAATAAATAATAAAATAAACTTGTATAATCTTTAATAACTGTTTTAATTAAGCTCCAATAGTCAATAGTATAATAATTTATTAACACGAGCATTTAAGTAAGTTGAGTTCTTCAACTAACTCATAGTATATTATTCTGCAGCGTGACTAAATGATCAACTGGTATAACAGCTATTTTCTTCCCACATGTCCATTAGTCCTAATATTTTATAAAAATAATATTGGAAACTGACTGATATTTTCTTGAAGTGGTATGACTATTCCCTTGTTGGGTACTTAAACCGTTCATTTTTTGTAATGGTTGCAGTTGTACTTTCATTTATTGCGACATGTGCCCGTATCCCACGAGCAACTTTTCATTATTGATTTACACAGTGCGAGTGGTTAAATTATTTCCACATACGATTATGTTCAAGTCGTTGTGGCGGGTTTCGTGCAATGGAATTAGTCATGTTACAAGTACGTTTGTGCAGTAGATCTTTGGAGTTATGGAGCGTGTTACAGTTGCCGTGAGCCTTCGGTCATACGTTTGTTGTAGTTTGCATATATTGCTGCAAAATGCTTTTATTTTTGTGCTAATTAAATTAAATACTAACAATTTTTGCATATTGACCTTCAATATAACATTACATTTGCATTAAACACTATTAAAATATGTATTTTTGTATTATTTTTAATGGAAATCATGAATGTATCTCCTATCTTAGATACTCGCTGCATCTAGACTTTGCGGAAACGTTAGATGGCATTTATAAAAAGAGTATCCCTTCTGATTTTTGTTATGATTGTATGTTTATAAACAAAAATGATTTTATTATAAATATAGAAAACTGAATAACTTGAACAATGTGTGAAAACGTATAAATTGACTATAATTATTATAATTAACTTACAGTATAGTCGTTACCTTGTGCAGACTAGAGTAACAAGGTTCAGTTAACACTAATTAATTAATTACTTCTTAATGCAATATTGAATGAGAACAGTTGAGATAATTTTTTTTCTTTACTTAATTTCTTAATAACCTAGCTGTTCGCAACATATTAATTTTTTCACGATTTAATAAATTTGTAATCCAAACATGACTATTCACTTAGACACTTTTGAGCTCATTTTA